CCCAATCCTAATTGGGTGCTGTGGGCTGTGACGCTCACTATCTTAACATTTGCTTTTTTTTTTTTTTTTTTTTTACTTACATTTGTTACAATTAAACTAATAATTGTTATTATTAAACTAAGCATGACTATGAAAGAATTAATTTTTTTTTTTTTTTTTACAATTGGCTTTACAAGGGCTGCTGGGAGTGAAAAAGGATTAGTATTCTTTAGGATAGTCATAGGCAAGCTGCAGCTCATGTTCTGCATGAAGCCTGATTGGTATTCTGAATGGCACGCTTAATTTTACAAAGAAAATAAGGTTATTAAAATGTGGTTTGATTCCTTTCATTCTCACTTGTTCACTCACACACACTCTCTCAAACAAAACCGCATGCATAAACAATGATTAAGTACAATGTTTTTTAAATTTTGCAACTTTCTGTTGAAGGTATCGTTGTCAGCATTTTAAATCTTTGATACTTTTTTTTTTTTTTTTTTTTTTTTCACTAACGAAGAACGCAAGTGTAAAAAATCTTTTTTGCTTCAGAAACAAGAAACAAATTATTTTTTTCTTTAGGGAACAAACTTTTTAAATGTTTTTGCATTTTCAAATGAATAAACTAGAAACAAATGATACACATTGTGTTAATCACTCTGTAATCAATGATAATATGCAGTGTCTTCAGTTATTTTAATTATAGAAGGAATCTTTTCTCTAAAGAAAAAAAAAAAAAAAAAAATTGACTTTACCTCATTTCTAAGGCAGAGGCTTATTTTGTTGTAAAAATGTCTGTAGTATCTTTTTAATGAAAAAAAAAAAAAAAATTTACCTTTTTAGTAGTGTGGCCCACTTTATGATGAACTGTCTCATGTAGCCTACTGTTTGAAAAAGGTTGCCCATGCCTGCTTTAGGAGGAACAGGAAACAAAGGATAAATCTACATTACTGTTCAAAAGTCAGGAGGGCTGTAAACCAAACAATAAGCAAACTTATCTATTCTCTTTTGTGAGAGAGAGAGAGAGAATGAAAATAACATTTCAGAGTTTAGGCAGAGATGTCAGAAGTATAGTTGAAGCAAACTTTAGAATGAACCGGAAATGCAATCCTTTCAGAATGACCTGAATATGTGTCACAGTCTTCAGAGAGAGAATTTGGGCTCTGCAAGAGTCGCTGGAAACCTTCTGATATCACATTGTATAGGTTTTATTTTTTCTTTGAGATAGATACAAGGGAAAACTTTCTGTCGACAAAAGTAAAAAGCCTGTTTGCATAAATAACAATTGATGATGATCTGAGCCATCATGGTTAATACAAGCTTGCAGTTAGTAGGGAAGGGATTATATTAAGACACTCATTGATTGTAGTTTGTGGCTTTTCTGGCAAGAGAATTAACTGACCAAGTTGATATGATGACTTGCACTGGAGTAGTAGTTTTAAGCAGATCTTTGTTGGCAAGACTTGCACATTTCATGGCTATACTTGTCATTTTTGTTTGTTTGTTTTTAATTTTTTATTTATTTATATTAAATGTTCGCTCAGGCCCAAGCACCACTCCAGGTGGCTTACTGACATTGTTGTAAGAATGTACAAATCAAAAATAAGTGCAGAATAAGGATACATAAGATAAGAGCTGACTAGAAGTTCAGTTTGTGTAACTGAATCAATTCTTACACGTGACAGTGATTGATGACACGCTCAGATTTCTCGTACAGAAAATATAAACAGTACAATAGCAAAATTATTTTTTTTTTTTTTTTTTTTTTTTATAATTTTACTTTTGATATTAAAAAACAGAATGCTTTCTATCATGGTAAACATTGAAGATTACACATGCAGAAATATAACCAACGTATTTACTTAAATATGTCTGACATTTTCTTGACACTAGGATTTGTATTAGCTTTCTTTAGTTACATTTAATTCTTTCTTACAACAGTTTTATCGGTCAAAACCTTAGATGATTTTTGCAGAAAATATGACCACTCCACCTACAACATTAATTAAATATCAAATCCGATCGTGTTAGCTTTCATTTCATATTTTTGCTTTGAATGATATATAAAAAATTTTTTTAATAGAACAGATAAACAAGTTAAAATATTTTCTCCCCAAAGCACTCGGTGGAGTTCGCATCACGCAGCATGGAAGCGTGGAGTTTGAAAAACCACAGTCCGTCTGTGCAGCGATTCTTATCAGCGAAGCCGATTTCAGTGCGAAATTCAATGAACAGCAGGGAGTTTGGGTCGCGGCCTGGAAGTGGTCGGCAGGTCATGCACCAGGGAAACTTCAGAATCGGATCTCTGAATATCCAGTATCCACCGAGATGAGAAGAGTACGAGCATGAATTACAAACATGGATGGACAATGGTTGGTTGTGAGTACTCTATTAAATATGAGTAAGTTGCAGTGCATGTGGGGTACCCCGTTGTTCAATTCGTACACCTTCCCTATGCAGTGCAGGTGAAGTCTGTTTCATCAGAAATTTGGAAGTGTTCAGCAAGCTCTACACAAGTTTGGCTGTTGTCCTTCTTTCTGGCCACATTTAGGGCATCCTCATCTAGGACCTGTGGCCAGCCACTGCGGGTACACCACAATACGAAATATCTCCCAACCTGAACTTCTGAAGGCAATGCCTAGCGGTGTGTTCACTCATAACATTATCCATTATTGGATGTATTCAGCAACTTTCTGCGGGCTAGCCCACTTTAAAGATATAAAGTGGACAATCCTAAAATAGTTGATTGACACTACCATATTACCTTACTGCTGCTCAAGGTATGATTGATGCATGTGCACAACAGACCTGCGTTGGTCAAGAGCAAGTAAACCATTTCCAACTGCTTTGCCAGCATGTGATGCTCTTGTTTTCATATAAGTGCTCACTTCTTCCCACCCAATGTTAAAAATTGCAAGGACTTTCTTGGTGACCTTTATACTGGTGTTTCTTTTATATGGTTGACTAGTATCTACTATAAACAAGGGTATCTTCATTACTTAACTTTACTGTACACTGTAGCTGCAATGTTTCTCTCCTTTTTATCCATTAAAACTTGATTCATTAATCAGAATAACTAGGTTTTTATTCCTTATCATAATGCCATGTTTTGTTTTATAGTGTTGATGACAGCAGTAATTGGTATTCTGTTCAAGCTATTGAAGAATAACTTATTATAATTGCCACTAGCAGGATCTGTATAAATTACACAGAATTAACCAATAAATTTTTTAACACTGCACTTCATACACTTCAACCCATGACAATTCCTAGATACTTATAAGAAAAGAGACATACAGGGCATGATGGATAAATTGTCATCTAAATTAAGCAAAAATGAAAATAACACTGACATTTCATTTTAACATATATTTACCAAAATTACACAAAAATATCTTTAAATACTGAGTAAATTTATTCAATAAAATCCCCATTGCTTTCAACCTTGGCCTCCAGACAACTTTGAAATCTGCAACTCTTCTGGGCGGTCTCTTAAGTTGGTGAATGCTGCAAAATCCTTGCCTTCAGTTCATCTTTCGTGTTACAAGAAGTTTTGTTGGTATCTCCCTCAGCTGCACCCCCACACACAATAATTAAGGGGGTTGAAGTCTGGGGAGTTAAGCGTCCAGATGTCAGAAGTGATGTGGTTGCAGAAATTGTCTAACAGCCATGATTAGGTTCTCCTGCTTGTGTGGCATGATGCAATGTCCTTCCAGCTGCCACCCTCTTGACCCGGGGCAGCACTACCTCCCTCAAGGCACTTGATTTAGGCCTCCGTGTTGAGTTTGAAGCCCTATGGAAAGATGAATGGAGGCATAACATCGCTATCACTAGTGATCACTCCAAACTCCATAATGTTGACTGGATATATCATCCAACTGTTTCCAAATCCTCTTGTGACCAAAACGGTACTTGATTTGATCAGATTTTGTACTTGATTTGATCAGATTTTGTACTTGATTTGATCAGATTTTGTACTTGATTTGATCAGATTTTGTACTTGATTTGATCAGATTTTGTACTTGATTTGATCAGATTTTGTACTTGATTTGATCAGATTTTTTGATTTGATCAGATTTTGTACTTGATTTGATCAGATTTTGTACTTGATTTGATCAGATTTTCACTTGATTTGATCAGATTTTGTACTTGATTTGATCAGATTTTTTGATTTGATCAGATTTTGTACTTGATTTGATCAGATTTTTTTGATTTGATCAGATTTTGATGATTTGATCAGATTTTGTACTTGATTTGATCAGATTTTTTGATTTGATCAGATTTTGTACTTGATTTGATCAGATTTTGTACTTGATTTGATCAGATTTTGTACTTGATTTGATCAGATTTTGTACTTGATTTGATCAGATTTTGTACTTGATTTGATCAGATTTTGTACTTGATTTGATCAGATTTTTTTGATTTGATCAGATTTGTACTTGATTTGATCAGATTTTGTACTTGATTTGATCAGATTTTGTACTTGATTTGATCAGATTTTGATCAGATTTTGTACTTGATTTGATCAGATTTTTGACTTGATTTGATCAGATTTTGTTTGATTTGATCAGATTTTGTACTTGATTTGATCAGATTTTGTATTTGATTTGATCAGATTTTGTACTTGATTTGATCAGATTTTGTGAAATTGGTCAAGCTAAGAACTTTTTAGCAGTTTGTCATTTCTATTTAGAAGAAATGTTTCCTTTACCAGTTTGGTTGACTGTCAATGAAAGTTCTTTGTTTTTTTGTTTTGTTTTTGCTACATTAACTAAAAAATATTAACTTCAGGGTTCACAGCCAACTTGGACAACATAGAATTTTGGTTTACTGTTGAAATTTTTCAATGCCATTTAACATGTCAATCAACATATATTTTAAAACTAGTAAAATTTGAATGTTTCTTTGTCCATTCATTTTTCTTGCTTTGCTCTAGTACAACCATATACTTACTGTCTGCCATGCAATGTCCCAAAATTAAGGCTTTTCAGGGAATTTTATTTAAGGATTAGGCTATGGGTCTTATGGCTATATCATGTTGAAACATCAGTTCTCGTCCCGTCACTGAAGTTAAACAACATTGAGCCTGATCAGTACTTTTATGGTTGACTTCTGGGGAATACCAGGTGCTGTAAGCTATATGACAGGCCTAGCAAGCTGGTGATGGATACTATCTTGCTACTTGTACTAACTGAAGACTTCAATATGTAGCCTGACATGTTGCAATACGTACCTGGAATCAGGTGAGTGAGCGAGTGATTAAGCTGGGGACACTGTCAGTTCTTAACTGCGTATATGAATTATTTACACTGTTTAGATGCTGACTATTGACCTCGTCTTTTGTTATCACAATGTTTCGGCCACTGTGCCCTCGGGCTTTCATCAGGTTTATGCCAATCCAGATAACTTGCAAGGAATTTCAAACTTAACCCTTTATTTAATATGTAAACAGCTTTCGTTCCACTGCTCATGTCTAATTCTTAGTTTTAATATGCCCAGTTATTACTCGCCCTGTTTCCACTCTATCCAAGTACGCATATATTGAACTCCCATTTTCCGCCCTACAACGCCTTTCTCACAGATGAAACATTGCAAGCTTCTTGCTGCTTTTCCGTAAAGTGTTCAGATAACCTATATTCCTTAGTTCCATCAGTTCTAACCTTCATGGCTAAGACCTGCCATGCCACATCTGATGGATCAAACAACCTCATTCCCTTCATTGGGGAGATGTAAGTTCCACCCAAGCAGCTTCTCACAAATTGCTGCTTTGTGAAACTGCCTCCCAAGAGAATGCTTCCCTCATCACTACAATCTTCACCTGTTCATCTCTAGGATCAACTGTAATTTTCATCACAAAGCCCCAAAAACTGTGCCTCTTAGTCTGTAATCCTCTACCTCAAGTGGCTCTTGGGCCTTGTACAGTGAACATTTGTTTTATAAAAAAAGAAAGCTGAATCACTAAATTTTTGAACAAGCGCTTTAATCCACTTGCCTGTTGTCTCGTGTGACAGTTTCCTTTGAAGAACTTGTAACCTTAAACCCAACTTACCTGCACATGAGAGTTGCTCATGCTTGACTGCACTCAAAGAAGCTTTTCTCTTGCGTCTCTGAACCTAAAATCAGTAATATAATCCCGTTTTTGGGTTTTCTAATCAATGGAACGATAGTGTAACAGACGTCATCAGTGTGGAATGAGGAATTGGCAAGCAGAGTTCAAATTGCCAGCTCATCTGTTGCATTTATTTTAGCATTGAGGAAAGGAATGAATCCATCTCTTTTTATCCCTTCCCACCATTATTGAGTGGCAACCAAGTCTAAGAAAGGAAACTTTGAATAACAAGCTGTGAAGGAAGTCATCAAGACCCCCCCCCTCCACTATCTTTCCCAAAAAGTCATGGCAATTTAAAAATAAAAACAAGTAATCTGTGTAGAATCCAATAGGAAACTACACCACTATCTTTCCCAAGAAGTAGCAATTCACAGATAAAGGAAAGGAATCTGTGGAGTCATGATTGCTTGTGTCTGAAAGGACATGGCATTTTAAAGTTGGTTGATTGTTTTTGTTTATCAGCATATCAACACCTCTATGGGTTAACTAATGCTGAAATCTAAATATTTTGTACACAGTTTTATCATTTCAGGGTAAGCATATGTTTTATAACTGCCTAGTTTGTAGATGGTATATTGTAGGTGTTATGTTTTGGTATGGGCCAATTTCTTTATCGGTTGCTTTCTTAATAAATGGTAACATTTAGACTATATATTGTTCTCCATAAATGGATTGATTCAATTTTTTTTTTCTCAACCTTTTGCAAGTTATTTAAGGTCAGAAAATATTTTTAGTTTGAAAGAATTTTTTTTTTCTTTTTAAGGTAATAATGATTTACTGATACAAGTCCTTATTAACCCATAGTGGAGGAGGAGAAAAGAGATGGACTCATACCTTTTCCCAAGAGTATTTGCACCAAGTGGCTATAACAAAAATAATTGGAATGGTAACTCTGATTTCCAATTCCAAGCAGTTAACCATTACACAATGTGCACATCTAAGCTTACAGTACTTGATATTCCTAAGTGTTTTTTAACCTTTAACACACTGCATTATTCATTACTTTCATTTCTGCTGCAGTTTTGTTTTTTCTCAAGGCTTCTTGACTGCGCTAAATTTCAGTCATGGTCATTTTCTGTTGCCATAGCAGGATATGACAACACAACTGCAAAATTCACACACTATTATTCATTCATCTGTCACTTGAAGTGGCAGGATAAAATTTTTACTTTGTGTAAAAAAAAAAAAAAAAAAAAAAAAAAAAAATCACCTCCAAAATGTCCATTGGGGAGCTGCATTCAAATTCCAGCCATTCTGTTGCATTCACTTTCACACAAATACCTTTTGGAAAGTCATGTAGTATGACCTCTTTCAAAGAGATCCTGGCTGGAATTAACTACTTTCTGGAGCACTACAAAGAACTGACCATTTTTCGAGTATCTTCATCAATAGATCATATGTAAGAGTTTCTCTTGAGGTTTTACTATTGATAATTCAATAAATATTTATAATCTTTAATTTTATAATTAAAATTTTAATTTCATTGTCTTATTTAAATAGATGACACTGAAGTTTTTTTTTTTTTTCTCTCTCTGACATTTGATTTAAATTTTTTATTTATTTTTTTTATTCAGCCAAACATGCCTGCCAGACTGTTCCTTCATAAAAAAAGGAAGAGTTTGGGACAAGATGCTTGGGATGAAGGCATGGAGGTAGGTGTCTTTATTTTCTATCTGCTTAGCAGCTAAAATCCAGAGTAAAGCAAACAATAAGGTTACTACAGAATTTAATTTGATATTATGCCTCTATTCACAATTGAGTATAGCTTTGTGTTAGCACACAGACCCAGAATAAAGTGGTCTGCTATTATTTTTGTTGGATTGGTGAAATCAAATCAAAGATTTTGCTCCCCTTTTTTTTATTGGGACGTCTTGGCCTTATCAGCCCTTAAGAGACTTAAGCCATTATATTCCCATAGTTCTGACTGAATTACTGAAAAATCTGAATGTGTTGTTTTAAATGGATATATCTCAACTTGAAAATCAAGTCTAACAAATCGATTTTTATGAAAGTAAATCGATTCTTCCAAATAATACCAGATTTATCATCTTTTAGTGTATTACTGGTTAGAGATAGGGTTTGTAAACTGTGCCTCTAAAAAAACCAGTATACTGCTACCTGTTTCCTGTGCCCCCCCCTTGTTGCTTGTCTTGTTCCCCAGCCCCCCCATCTCGGTCCTTGTCTTGTTTTCCCCACTTTCCCCTTTTTGCTCCCCCTTTTCCTTTCCTCTCCTTGTTTCCCCCTTTTAACTCTTTCCCTATTTTGTTGCCCCCCCCTTTTTTTTTTCCTTTTTCAAAATTAATGTCTTTGACATGAAATCTATTATCAAATTTCAGAACGGGCAAAAGCGTCGTTGTTTAGGACCATTTGATTATACAAGTGGTAATAAATTCTCGGAGACATATCCTTCACACCAGGTGAGTAAATATTTTTAAGTGCAATTTTCTGTTTAAATTACTTATATATATTTTTTTTTCTTGTAAGCACCTATTACATCTTGATTAGAAGAGTAGGTTGGAATATTCATAAAAATTCATTCCTTTTCAGGACAAAAACAGTTGAATTTCTTGAATAAGGCATAGAATGTCTTAATTAGTATTGTTTTAATCTCACTTTCTTTTTATTGCTACTTCCAGTGTTATTCTCTGGTTGTTAAACAGCAGAGAATAGAAATAAAAAAAAAAATGGGCTTTAATTTCTGACAGGAAAATACAACTAGGACTTTTAAACAAAAGATACTGGTATTTTGGTATTATAAGAATTTGGCATGATTTGGCACATTGTTCTTCATACTGCCATGGAAAGATGGGCAATTAAAGATAGGATTGAGTTTGAGTCCAATCAAAGATTTATTCTTTAGTTTTAATTTTTGCTGCTTACTCTAGAACAATTACATGACAGCAACATTTAGAAACGACTGAAACACAGATTGCTTAGTTTGCATCAATAAAGTTCACAGCAAGCATTCAACTCTTAAGATTTAAGTTGTATTGTACAACAATGTCTTCAATAGGGCTTTAAGATTTGTACACAGATGTTTTAGGTGGTGTAATGGTTATTGGCTGGCTCTGAATGAGTAATCAAAGTTGAGTTTGAAAACTAATTGGGTTTGTTACATGCAAATACCCTTGGGGAAAGGTATGAATCTCTCCTCCCCCTGGCTATGGGTTAAATAGTAGTTATCTGGAAAAAAACCATTATTTGCAAAAGAAAATAATTCTTGGTCTCTAAAATATATTTCAGCTTTAAATGATCTACGGTTTATAAGCCATAACATTCAAATCAAGATTTGCATTGTTCAAGGTCTTATGATAATGGATTTCAATGTAATTCATTCCAACATCATATTAATGATGAAAAATAATGAATCTTAAATCTTCGAGACCTATACTGTATATACTCTAGTAATGTGCAAGTTTTTATGGTCAATATTTTATGCAAAAAAGAGGGTTGCATTATACACATGCAATATTTTTTAAAGGGAGTAAAAATCATGAATTTTTGGTAACCAGTTGTATTATACACTGGTAAATTTTAACTTTTTGTTTTTTGTTTTGATGACACATCTCTATTGCTTTGATCAGCATTTTGTAAATTTTGACAGTCTTCATTATTACCACACAACATTATGATTATCATTCATGGTGAAATCTGTAGTGGGAATTCCTTAAGTCTGCTGTAAGCTTGGATGTGCACATAGTCTAATAGATAATGGTTCTGAATTGTTAGTTGAAGAGCAGAGTTCCAGTTGCAGTATAGCACCTTTTCAAGATTGGATTAAAATAAATCCTAACAATATTGAATTTAATTCTTTAAATGTCATCATGCCCAAGTTGCTAACTTTTAAATGAGACCTTGTTATATGCAATAATCCTACCCCCTCAGCAGATTGTCATCTGAGGTTTCCTTTATCAGAAATCAAAACTTTCACATACTAAGTTTTGTTCAACTAAAATGAACTAGCAAAAAAGCCTTTAACCAAAGTATCTTTATTAAAGAAAAAAGACAGAGGTCAAAGTTTGAGTTT